CCCCCGGGCCGGCCCCGGAGCAGCCGACCGGGACCCCCCCCGAGCAACCCCCCGGGACAGCCCCCGAGCAGCCGAACGGGACATCCCCCCAGGACACCCCCAGGACACCCCCCGAGCAGCCCCCCGGGACACCCCCCCAGGACACCCCCAGCCCCATCCAGGAGCTGTCTGCAGGGTGGGGAGTTCCTGGCCCAGGAGAACACTCGAGTGGGGCTGCTCTTCGCCTCCAAGGCTCTGGTCCAGCTGCTGCTCAACCCCTGGGTGGGTCTGCTGACCAACAGGTAGGTCAGACCCCGGGCTTCCTGCAATTCCATCCCTCGGCTCCTGCCTGCTGCTGGAATCACCAGGCGTGGAATTGCAGGGATTAGCCGGGAGGGAAATCGCAAGAGGTAAAAATGCCCATCCGAATGGCAGGAATGTTCCCTTTGCCCGCACACCGCTGCTGCGTTTATGTCCCAGCACAAAGCTCCCCAGCGCTCTCCTCAGGTGCTGGCAGATGCTGTTTCATCCCAGCCACCACGGAACAAACAAACTCAGCCTCCCGCCCTGCTATGGACGGATAAAGTGTTGTTTTCAGGTTTTCTTTCTCTCCTGCAGACACTGAGCTGTGCTGCGGAGCCCTGGGGGGGTTTGCAGGGTTAGTGGGGGGCTCTGGGGGTCCCTCTGAGCAGCGCTGTGGGCACATCGCCCCCTCAGGAGCTGTTTCCAGCCCACAGACATCTCCCAGGGGAGCAGGAGGAGCCCTCCTGAGCTGGGGGCTCGTTTTTCCCACTCCAGGATCGGATACCACATCCCCATGTTCCTGGGCTTCACCGTCATGTTCCTGTCCGCAATTAGTGAGTACCGCCCTCCCCACCCTGCCCAGCAGAGAGAGGACAGAGCACAGCCCCCGGGCTGAGGAGGGGGTGACAAGGACAATCTCCCTGCCCTCTCACCCCTGCCAGTGCCAGCTGGGGCCAGCCTTGCCCTGCTGCAGTTTCAGCCCAGCTCTCCCCTCCCTGCGCAGTGTTTGCTTTCTCGGGCACCTACACCCTGCTCTTCATTGCCAGAGCCCTCCAAGGCGTCGGCTCCTCCTTCTCGTCGGTGGCAGGTGAAGGGTTTGGCTACACCTCAGTCCCTGCGTCAGCTCCCCTTGGCTGGGTTCTCCTTCTTCTCCTTCTCCTTCTCCTTCTCCTCCTCCTTCTCCTTCTCCTTCTCCTTCTCCTTCTCCTTCTCCTTCTCCTTCTCCTTCTCCTTCTCCTTCTCCTTCTCCTTCTCCT